GCGTGCTGCAGAATGTCGTAAATACGATTTGTCATAGTTGAATTTCAGGACGCATTATCTGCTGTTATCGCGCAGACACTCTCCAACATCATAGGATCCATGCTCTTCACACCTTTCACTTAATGATTTTATATGCGTTTTCATGTGTGGGTATGCATTAAGCAAATGACGGCAATGATGACGTTCTACATATCCTCATGTGCGTCAACTTAATGAGCAGTTATAACCACGCGACAACGTTTTGCTGAGGACGTCCTTGTGTCTGCAGTTAAAGCACAGCGGCGCTTTGCACGGTCTTGTCGAAGCTTTGTCGAACTTTTTTTCTGCTCAGTACATTGAACGATGATCCGGTTTAAGATTGTGCTTCTGCACGATACTTGGTAAGTGCAGTGCAAAGCGGCTGAATATTGACGGAATTTCTCGTGCTCAACAACAGCGAGTGAATGCAAGCGGTTGACGATCCATTCGTTTAGCTTTAAAAAATGCATATTTTTTATTTGCCAATGTAAAATAGGTAGAAAGGCTCCTTCTTATAATCTGATGGCCTCCAAAACTTTTGTCGAATTTTGCGTAGGACTTTCGTATTTTTGACTGGTCAGGATTAGACTCCGAATAAAGATACTGATGATCTCATCCAGTGTGATTTCTGAAGTTTAACGTGCTGTGCGTTATCCATTCATAATTTGTATTGATAACCTTGCAAGGAAGACAGAACCATCGGTATCTGTCGTCACATGGGTCGTTCGCGATGAAATCATGCACATGGGAACTAAAGTTGCGCTTTACACTAACAGGCTCACTTTCGCCTATATTTGGGAATGCTTGTATTGACGTGTATTTGACGAAGTCTTCGTCGCCGTAGAAGTATCTCGTGATGAGTACTCCAGCAAGTTCATGTCATCTTGTCCCCTTTAAAAAGAACTGGGGCATCGTTTTTGAGATTTTTGCAAGTTTTTGTGCGAACCGTTCCAGACCCGGTTCTAATAATTCTTCATTTGGCTCTTTCAGTTCTAAGGATTGATGCAAACAATTTCATCAGTTCCGGTTATCAGGAACATATTCTCGAGGTCTGGAATCGTTGAAATCTCTGGTTGTGTCGAAAGTTTTGAAAAGTTAAGGTTGAATTAGTCCTCATACTAATCGAAGGCTCTTATTTGAAGGGGTGGGGTATTATTAACAAAAGGGGGGATTAATTACGAATTCCTATTGCACACTTGCTTACGTTAGATTCGTGATTTTAATTGTCGATGCAGCTTGGATCCTCTTGCCCTTACTCCGAACACATTATCGTCAGGCGTTTGCTTTTTGCCTGTAAATGTTGTAAAGCTACCGCCAAAATTAGTGACCATCTGTGCTCAGCATTCGCGCATCAAACGCCTAATTAGGCTTTCAATGCAATTTTTGTAGTGGCTGCTTGTTTCGCCGCTTATTATTTTTTACTGGCTGCAATCTAGCCCCTCCCGTCACGGTATATCTCGCTCCCCTCCTTTCGCAACATTGCACGTATTTTGCAAAATTGGAACCGACCAGATGCAAGCTGTGCAAAACCCGCACAAGTCGCAAACTTAGAACCCTTCCAGGACAAAATTAGTGCGCACCGCGCTAATTTTTCCTGCCGAATCCTCAATCTTGTATTCCTTATTCTGTGTAGACATCAAGATGGTCTGCCCCTCAAGGCCGCCCACCTTTGGTGGAGATCATTGCTTGCTCGACCCCAGACCGTGTAGGGGATGTCTCGTGCTGGCCTCTCGCATTATCGACGTATATGCGAAAGAAGGTCGTAAGGGGGCATAGCACAGAAAGTGACGGTAAGCGACCAATATGTAATCAAAATTAAATTTTGACATTGACAACCGTAACATGTGACTGTGCGGCATTCGTAAAAGATTATAACTAAGTCATTCGCTTCTCGATCAATCATAATTTTAGCGTAAGGGACCGAAGTAATGAGACCTTATTGTTGTGGAAAGCTGTTTGTACTGTTCTCAATTTGCATACGTGACGCGTTTGTGAAACGTTAATGTTGTGAGAACGGGGTGTCTGCTTATGTCGACTACTTTTTCAGCGTATCATAGGTTACAAAGCCACGCTGGCCTTGTGTATCGCCGTGAAAAGCTTTATTTGTTGTGTGAGCGCGTTCGATGGGCTGTAAAATGGTTAATGGTACCACGCATCAAGACACGCGTAGTTGCTGGGGGGAATTAAGAGCTTAAGAGCAACAAGCGACTCGCACGGTCCGTAAGTACCAATGCATAAGAACAAGTACAGTGCTTTTTTTACAGCAGCATAACACGACCATTTCGATACCGCTTGGGATGTGTTTAGCATGGTACAATCATCGGATGTTTCGAACACCAGATTTGTCATCTAGGCTTTGACTAAAACAAGTATGGAGCAGCGTATTATGTTTGACAGAATCAAATCTCTTTGTCCAATGTTTTTACCACCATTTTTACAAATATGATGTCGCTATGAGCAACGACCTGCATCGATTTGTAGTACGAAAAAAATGAATTTTCGCTTGCGGGATTTGCTCGGAAGGATTTCGGCCCTGTGGCCGACAGCACTTGCAGTCGCAACAACTGGGAACACCATCAATGCATCACACACATCACCAGTTAAAAAAATTTTGCAGCCATGTTTGTGGTTGTGATGGACAAAACCGGTTCAGCGGCGCATGAACCGCTCCCATGTCGATCGCTGCCCTGTCGGCGGACATTTCAATGTAATGTTTTTTTTAATTTCATGTAAATACTACTCTTGGCACCTATAGGCTTACAGTAATCAGTCACCCGTCGCATAGCGTGGCACACATAGATTTCGTCACGACGTGGGACTGGTTATGCGACTTGGTGGGATTGTTGCAATGTTTGCTTCTGGTTGGTGCTAGAATTTGCATATTACTCCAGCATCGTCATGGGCTGCTCCTGATCCGAATACCTCTCGATTCACGAATTCTATGCTCAAGACAGTGGAGGACGGACAGAATCAATTGTCGTCGCCATCCAATATAAATTGCCCTCTTCGGTCTTGAACCAGCTCTGATCCTGTGAAGGCCACGTGCTCTATTTGTACATGGCGTACCCACAATACAGAAGAACACTGATACAAGTGCTGGGAGTTGCTAGTCAGGCAGAAGACTGTTGTTGCTGCGCGATGCGACAACCGAATTACTATGACCATGCTCCGGTTTCTAGCGCGTCGTGGGTTAATTTGTGAACCGCTTCGAACACGCTGATTGGATAGAATTGAAGCCGACAGTCTAGCAGAGCACGTGAAGACATGTGGACATGGCTACAACTATGCTAGTATGAAGCAGCTCAAGCACTGTGTCTGTACATTTATGAAAAAGTACCATTCTTTCTATCCTTCTAGAATTTGAGCTGTGTTTTAGACGCATCAGAAGTATCGATAGTAAAGCCTAAACCTGTCTTCTGTTGCTAGCAATTTGTCAAAAAGCGATCCTGACTTCTAGCGAATTAGCAGCCGCTGTAGAAAGAGCTCGATGCTTCACTGGCATCAGCACAAGCAGGATCCTCACCTCGTCGCTTTTCTACGCCCACGCGATCCCTCATCGCTCGCAATCATAGCGTCTAGTAAGCGACTTTGTCCACTACCGTCCACTGTGGCAGTCGCAATCCCTACGCCTGATCCAATGACGAAAATTAGATGACTTAGTTTGTATTGGCGCGTAGCGAGCGCTCGTAAACAACCCAAACAAAGATTTGCTATCCTGCTCAGCTTCAACAAGATGGTTGTGGATTTGGAAGCACGCGTGACTTGTGACAAATGGTCGATCGAAGCGCAATGACGTCGTGAAGCCTACGTCATCACTCACTGTAGCTGTCAATAACGTGTCGTTCAACCATGAATTATTCTCGAATCATCGCGGAAACTACAACATACTATGATGTAATCCTGATCTATCTAAATGCATTTCGCACTCGAAAATGTCGTACCTAGGATTGTTAGGTAAACATCTGTGACTATTAACCTTTATGAAAAAAATTTATCAATTTGTAACCGTTATTAACACTAGCTACCACTTACTACCACTTTTTTACCAGCTTTAAATTTTCCAGATCATTTGTTTACCCCACTTATAACAGTTTTGTATCAAATATTATAGCTCTAAATAGCAGGTTCTTTCCGTGTCGAGGGGTCGGGCTGAATGAAAACATCAAAATGCGATGGAAAAACCGTGCCGGAGGAAATTTGCGACCCACTATGTAGAAGAAAAGATATCTGCATACGTAATGAATCCACCAAAACTTTTTGTCCAACCAATTCTTGTAGAGGTTCTCAGCCTTAAACTTCGCCTCAACAGGAGCTTCTGTGCACGACTTAGTCATGCTAATTATTAGCAAAGAGATCTCAACTTTAGCAGTACAATGCAGAACATGTAACGGGGTGAATCGTTACATAACAATTTATAAGAAATTGATAATAGAATATAACTATCAGAGTTATATTCTCAGAATATTGTCATAAGGACAAATATTCTGCAGCACTTACGAGTATTTCCTAATTGGTTGATATAGGCCATTATATCAACCAACGAAGACGCGCCACAACACAACAGACGCACGCAATGAGTGGTGAGCAGAAAGTTTATACGCACATTTGTATTTAGGCATAGTTAGATGAGGATAAAAAGTAGTTTAATAACAGACATAACTATGATAAATACAGTTCTACTTTTTACTTTAACCAAGTACTCGCTTCTTCTTACCGTCTTCCTCTGCACGTACGAGTGTACGTGAAGTTCCGAGGCACCGCCTTATTCTGTCGTCAGAATAAGTAGCTTGTACTGTCACCAGTACAAGCTTCAGGGCGCCCCGTTACACCTGGTAGCACTTCGTAGTCCGTCCAAGGACCACGTTCACATCTAACATGAATATGTTGGATGATGAAGATGAACAAATCTTTCACGCTACGCGTGACGGCTACTCTCATTTGAGCGATGTCGAATGGGATGCGGTTGACGGATGGGTTCAACCATGGGCATCCATGCTGTTAGCGTCATGCTAGAGGCTCTCAATAGAGATGCCCAACATGCTACTATCGCCAAGTTCATTCAAAATGAACTTGATGCCGAACGCGAGAAAGTAGCCTTGCTTCACCAACAAAGTTCTCAACAAGCAGAGTTGTTGAGAGAACAGTGTGTCCAACAGTTTGAACTGTTGAGAAAGCAGCAGGCTGCTGCTGGTGGGTTGATGCACTCGCGTCGACCCGAGACTTTGAAGGTTGACATCTCCAAGTATAGGGGAGTCGAAGAGGACTCCCTCTTGAGATGGTTCGTCGAATTAGATGACGCCATAAGGGCGCGTCGCATCGACGACGGGGATATGCAAGTTGCATTTGCCTGGTCAAATCTGGCAGGACGTGCCAAGACTTGGGCACTGGGGCTCAAGCTGCACGACCCACATGCGTTTGGGTCGTTGGAAGTCTTCAAGTCACGGCTCAGACAAACGTTTGAACCGCCTAGAGCTGAGTTCAGAGCTCGAACCGAACTCTTGAAGCTCAAACAGGGTAAGCGTGATGTGCACGCTTACGCGCAACATATACGACATCTCACGAGTTGTATAAGTTCCAACCCGGTTGATGAATACACGTTGGTTTCGGTGTTCATGTAGGGTCTTGCGGATGGTCCCGTCAAGACTCACCTGTTCCGACTTGAACTAGATTCACTAGAACAATCCATTTCCATTGCGGAACAGGAAGACTTCAGTCTGAGACAGGCTCGCGCCAGCTCGACATCATATCGTCAACCGAGACGATATGACAGCGGAGGTCCAGAGCCGATGGAACTCTGTTATGTAGAGAGCGAGAAGGCTCGCTCTACAGAATACAAGAAGTTGCAGAAATGCAACAGATGTCAAAAGACAGGACACTACGCTTACGAGTGTAGTGCCCTTTGTCCAGTGTCTCGCAACACTGGGTGTAGTGACCGTCCACCCATGAGAAAGGGGCAGGGACGCGGGTCTGCTTTTGGTGCAAAGACGCAACAACGGGATGGACCGTCAAAAAACGGACAGGATCAGTAGGTGCGGAGCACCCTACTGGTCCAGCAACGTCAAGAGAATTTGTGGGCCTCTTGATGAAGGTTGCTCCCAACACACAAACGTTTTGCGTGCTGCTCTAGGTAATGAGATCTCACTCATTACCTTGAAACTCGAAGTGACGAATAAGTTGTCCCTTCGAGCTCTAGTCGATTGTGGGGCGTCCAACAATTTTGTGCGACGCCAATCGCTAGAAGATGGTCACTTCAAGTTCAGTGAATGTGACACACCTCCTACGAGGATGACGGTACGTCTTGCGACAGGCGCATCCGTAACCGTCATGAAGCGTATAGTGAAGATTCACTATACGCTAGAAGATACCCAATATGACGATGACTTTATCGTATTGGATTTGGATGACAAATTTGATGTCATCCTTGGAATACCGTGGCTCAGAAGGTACGAACCACGGGTAAACTGGCAACATCGAACAGTAACGATGCCTGCCGCTTGTTCATCAGATGGCTATCTGATGAACGTTTTGGAGCGTCCACAAGCGTGTGGATGTACGACCAGTGAGTGCGATGGCCGCACTTGTGGTACGGTCGTTAGTACGACTGCACAAAACCTTAGTGTACCAAACGGTTACACTTCGGAGCAAAGTTCCGGCGGCTGTGAGGAAACACAGGCTGCGCCGAAGGTCCACCACATGAATAAGTCGAGTGGACCGGGACAAAGATGTATCCCTAGTGGGGAACATCTAGAAGAGACCATCGATCGCTCAGGGTAAGCGAAACGATAATCCTAGATCGACTGGAGGGTCTTTCGTAGAGGACATCGCTGTGGTTGCGCAACCACAGCTATAGGAAGTAAAGGGAATAAGTCCCGATATTTCAAACACGGTGGAAATAAGTTCCCTAAAACCCGAGGGAATAAGTCCCCGGGAAGCCGAAGAGATAAGTCCTTCGAGGTCTGAGGGAATAAGCCCCCAGGAAATGACAGAGACATTGAATGTCCTAGTCAATGATGGATCAAGTGTAGGCGCTTATACACTTGATCTGATTGCGCCTCCGAAGTTGACTTCGGAGATCACTCATTTGCCAACGCTCGAACATAAAAGGTTCTTGCGTGATCTGCATAGTGGCAAAGTCAAGCAGATCTGCGTACTCGTCGCTGACGACGAGTGTGTAACCGACATAAGGTCAGCAACAATGTTTACTGAGAACGAGAGAGTTCTCAGTAGTTCATCGATGGACGAGAGTGTCCTAGATGAAAAGACACGAGATGAGTGATATGACTCCCAATCGTGGGAATCGCTCAAGACAAATCCTCCCTATGAAGATTTGGTTGAATTCAAGGATGTATTCCCTGAAACTGTTCCGTGCGAGCTACAGAAGGATAAAGGTACTCAACACGAGGTCGAGCTTAAATCCCCAAAAAAAAACCAGGCTCAAAGTACTGTGTCATGAAGCAGTGGCCACTGCCTCGTGAACATGTACTTGCGATCGACAAGTTCTTTGCCGATCGTTTAGCTGCGGGTCATGTGAGGGAATCAACTTCCCCACATAGCTCTCTGACCTTCTGTGTGCGAAAAGCAACAGGAGGGTGGCGGATAGTGCATGCATTTAACAAGTTGAATGCTGCAACGGTACCGGCTCAGACGCCGATACCAAGGAAGGACGTAATCATAGATGGTATGTCAAAGAGTACCATCTTTTCGTCCATGGATTTGATGGATGGCTTCTATCAAATCCTTATGCGAGAACGGGACATACCCTATACCGCAGTGAGCACGCCTAGCGGCAAGCTCTGGGAATGGCTAGTAATGCCACAAGGGCTTAGTAATGCCCCTGCCACGTTCAACAGATGTGTATCACATCTGTTAAGACCAGTACGAGAATTCGCACCGAGTTATTTCGGTGACTTATTCATTCATAGTCGGGCTATGGATGGAAAGTCTGACGTTGAGGTTTACAGGTACCACGTCCGACAGGTTCTTACAATCATGAGAAATCATCAATTGTATGCAAACCTTAAGAAGTGTATATTTGCTGCAAGCGAAATGCCACTTCTTGGGTGCATCGTTGGTAAGAACGGTGTACGTTCTGATCCCGAAAAGATCAAGGCGATCACCGACTAGCCTGTGCCAGTTGATGTCAAAGGTCTTCGAAAATTTCCTGGGCGAGCGGCGTATTCGCACAAGTATTCACGCAATTACGCCGAGATGACTGTACACCTCTCTCGTTTGTTGAAAAAGAACGAGAGGTGGTTATGGAACGCTGAATGTCAGCGCTCCTTTGATGGTATCAAGCAGAGCTTGATACAATCCCCAGTCCTAGCAATAGCCGATCAGGACAGGCCATTTCATGTGGTCTGTGATGCCAGCGATTTCGCAATCGGCTGTGCATTAATGCAGTACGACCTAGAAGGCGTTGAACGCGTCGTCTGCTATCAGTCGCGTCAGCTGCAACCAGCTGAGCGGAACTATCCAGTGCATGACAAGAAACGCCTTGCCATGAAGTATGCACTCGCGAAGTTCAGAGTCTATCTATTAGGAGATAGACCCTTCATTGTTTACACTGACCATGCGTCATTACGCACGGCAATAAACAGCCCGCACCTTTCACAACGAATGGCGCGGTGGTTTTCATTCTTTGCAGAATACAACTTTACGGTAGAGTACAAACCAGGACGACTTAATGTCGTCGCTGATGCACTCTCACGTCGTCCCGACTTTGAATTAGTCGTGAAACCCAACAGTGAGACAGCCACTGTTGCGGTTATGACGTCCTCAGTACCTTCTTCAACGTTGCATGATGATGTGAGGCGGGCGTATGCCTAAGATGGTGAGATTGTGAAGTTGTTGGCATATCTCTCACAACCATCTCGAGAATCGTTGAAACGATTATCGTCTGCGTATTGATCTACATCAGATTGATACACTACTCGCAACGGTTTACTGTATTATACAGCCGTTTCTGGTGACACACCACGTGTTGTCATTCCAGATAATACTGATCTGCGTTTGCGGATCATGTTCGAGTATCACGATGCTCCTATAGGAGGACATCGTGGCCGGGAGAAAACATATCTCACGGTGAGTCGAGACTTTTACTGGCCCCGCCAGTATCAGTTTGTGCGCAAGTATGTTCGCGCATGCGAAGTCTGTCAACGAGTGAAGTCAAGTCCTTCACTGCGTGCACCTTTACAGCCTCTACCGGTTCCGGCAGAGTGCTGGGAATCCATCTCAATGGATATTGTCTTCTGGTTACCCAAAGACGCACTCGGGAATACGGGTATTCTCGTATTTGTTGACAGATTCAGCAAAATGGTACACCTGGTGGCTGTACCAGAGTCAATCACGGCAAGTGGCTGTGCTTGTGTCTTTATCGACACCATCTTCCGACTTCATGGGTTGCCCCGTGAACTCGTATCAGACAGAGATCCACGATTCACTGCTGATTTCTGGCGTTCCGTGTTCAAATCACTCGGAACGCGCTTGAAGATGTCTACATTTGATCGTCCAGAGTCAGATGGTCAGACGGAACGCGTTAATCGTGTCCTCGAAGAGATACTTTGAGGATACGTACTATCCTTTAGGAGTTGGAGTGAGTTCTTGCCAATGGTAGAGTTTGCCATTATTAACTCGGTGCATGCGTCCACGACACATACACCGTTTTACGTGAATGGCTTACGCCATCCGCGTGTACCCACCTTACTAGAGTGTAACTCTGGTTTAAGGGGGGGAGGGACTCGCGCGAGCAAAAACCGATTTGGTTCACGCTCATCACGCTCTGACGAAGAGGTCATTGCGTTTGATGCCGATATCGACAACATCGATATCGAAGAAGATGATGCCAGTGAGAGCGAGGAAGCCCTCACTGAAGAAAAGGTTGATGTTGCTGTAGTGCACTCACAGCGCACTGAAGCTAACGAGTCATAAGATGAGTTCATACTGGCTCGTGAAACGGTAGTCCGTTTGTGCAAGACTCCATCGCCGAAGCGGTGGATAAGCAAAAACAAAACGCTGACAAGAATGGAAGGGCAAACACTCTTTTATTTAATTATGGTGACTTAGTCCTACTGTCTACGGTTAATCTACCAAAGCATGTATTGACTAGCTTGGGTAGCAGTAAACTCCTACCCAAGTACATCGGCCCATTTCGTGTATTGCACCGCCTAGGCAACGCACACACGATCGAGTTGCCACGTAAGATGCGAACGCATCCCACGTTTTACGTTGGTCAGGTTAAGCTGTACCATCAGTACGCTGCTTCTTCCGATGAAGAACGCCCTCGCGCTCAAGCATCTCGCAGAGAGCCTTGTGCTCCCGATGGTGGGCATCGACAAGGGTCTGAATAGCAGTTAGCTCAGCCCGAGACCGGTCAATATCCACACGAGCTACCCTTAGCTCGTCACGCAGAGACGTCAGAGCTCTCTCGTTCTCAAGATGAGCAAAAGCATACTCATCTCGATGCTTCGAGACAGCGTCCGCCAGTTGGAGACGCCTGTCCCACTCATGTTCGAGATCGCCGCGTAACCCTTGCGTTACGCGATCAAAGATGCTCTCGGGAACACACGCTTCCCCACGATTGTGTGGAGAGCGTCTTCCCTCCTCCTCCACCTTCATTAGAGGACTCTCGCGGTGGCCAGCGCTATCTGGTTGAGCAGCTGTTGAACCACCACGACGTGAAAGGACGTCGGACGAGTCACCTCGTCCGGTGGCGCGGCTATCTCCCGTCCTGGGATACTTGGGAGCCCCGCTCCCAACTGATGGTTGACGTACTGGGTCTGGTCGAGCAGTACGACGCGGCACATCCTGTGCCGCAGAAGGACCGCCGGAGAAAGTCTTCCCGGCACGATCATAAAGGGATTTCAGGTTGTCAATCCCTTCGTACATCTCACTAGAGATACGTACGCGCCACCACGGGCTAGTAAGGAGGTAAGCCTCCTTAGGTGCTTGTGCAGAGTTGTTCACACAACATGGGCACGAGTCTCCCAGGAAAGACAGGGTAATCCTTTCTCCCTTGATAGACGATACAGCTTGTAGCGTGCACCTGTCGGGGTTCTCTTTTCAAACTTATCACGAGCTTTGACAAGTTCGTCATTCCAAACGTCACGACCTACATCGTCTAGGTTATGGATGTAAGCGTTCCACGCTTGAAGCAGTGAGGGACCATCACGTTTGTGATCCCCACTGTACCATCGATGCTTAAAGAAAGCATCGATGAAGAAATCATGCTCAGCGCGATAGTCTTCCGCACTGGGGCCAAGGTGATGGATCCTTGACGAATCGAATGATCGTGTTCGATAACGATCACTCGTCGTCGCCGACAAGTGATCCATGACGGATTTAGGAAGCATCCATGCCTTCTTCTCGGGAGTGAGACGCAACACACTGCTGTTCCGCTCTTCATGCGACGTGCCGACAGAAGGACTGGCACCTTGTTGCGAAGTGGTGTCAATAGGAGAACCGACACCACTGTTAGCGCCCGAGTCTTGCGACTTCGAGCGCCTTCGCTTCGGCGATGGTTCATCTGATGAATTAGATGAACCAAAGATGCTGCGACGCAGAGCATCATCCATGCCACGCTTGGCAGGCGGCGTGGATTCGATCGCCGTCGATACGGATCCGTCTTCCGTATCAGGAGAGTATGAGACACCGAGCTCATACTCTGTGAAGACATGAGTGTCTTCATGACGAGCGCCTGCATCACCAGGTGACACAGGCTGAGTCGCTTCAGCAACCGATGAGACATCAGTTGCTGTGGTTTCTGCTTCGGCGTCCGCACAGAGACTTGTGGACGCGCTCTCGACGGCCTTGCTCGCGCATCGCATAGGCTTGTTAACTATGCGATGAAACTGGACTGTGGACTCGGACCAACAAGTGCAAACCCCGTCCCAAATAATTTGGGACGAGTATCCATTTAGTCAATCAGTCACTAAAGTGACCGATGGTTAAGGGGGGGTGATGTAGTGGGGTGAATCGTTACATAACAATTTATAAGAAATTGTTAGTAGAATATAACTGTCAGAGTTATATTCTCAGAAGATTGTCATAAGGACAAATATTCTGCAGCACTTACGAGTAGTTCCTAATTGGTTGATATAGGCCATTATATCAACCAACGAAGACGCGCCACGACAGACGCACGCAATGAGTGGTGAGCAGATGACTGATTTACACATTTGTATTTAGACATAGTTAGATGAGGATAAACAGTGGTTTATTAACAGACATTGACTATGATAAATACAGTTCTACTTTTACTTAAACTAAGTACTCGCTTCTTCTTACCGTCTTCCTCTGCACGTACCAGTGTACGTGAAGTTCCGAGGCACCGCCTTATTCTGTCATCAGAATAAGTAGCTTGTACTGTCACCAGTACAAGCTTCAGGGTGCCCAGTTACATCAAGGGTATCAAGAAAACCCCGTTCACGTAGGCTAGCCCTCCCCTGTTCAAGCAAACTCAAACATTTTTGGACCTTGGAAACAGAATCATCGGTACAGGGGAGTTACTACTTGCTTAGCTGCACCAGTTGTCCAGCACCTCTGATTCCGACATACCGGTGCCATCACCTGCAGTAGCGTCTATAAGACGATTGGGCACCAGGGATAGCGGATGGAGACGGATTTGGATTCTGATGAGTGCCATCTGTCGATCGCATCTCTAGGATCGGAGCGGAACGACGCGGGGTTTTACAGCGAGCAGATCACAGAGGTACAGACCGCCTCCCGTTTTTGGGAGCGGGATCGCGTCAACTGAACGCTTTGGTCAAAAGGGAACATCGAGGCATTACGGCTATCGTTGGATCGGCAGTGATACACACGTGCCTAGACCTGTGTACTTGCGAGCCTCAAGGACTCTCGGCTTCAATAGCGGGCCGCCACGAAAAGCTACCGGCACCGGCGCAAATTCACGGTGTTGAGGTTCTCGGACAACTTCTGCATTAAAGTCCACATGAAAAGACCGTCATGAAATTACGCTCACTGCCATTATGCATTGTTAAATGTAGAATCCTGGTCGCTGCAACGAGATTGTTCAATAATCGACAGTCTCGTTGTCAATGTTCCAACCAAGTCTCGTTGTCAATGTTCCAACCAAGTTTCGTTGTCAATGTTCCGACCTATCAATCAACAATTCAAATACATACTACACAAAGTATGGCACGAATCCCACGGACTATCATCGATCATTCGAGACCTCAATTTTCTCGATGCACCGTCGGCTTTGTCAAGCAGTCGTCGACCTGCACTGTTGTCGGTCGTAATTAATTACCTCTCAATTTGTTTACACTCATAAATCAACTCGAAGAAATTCGACTTGTCTCAATCTCTACAATCCAATAGTCTCCCTGTCTTTATACTATCCGCCGTTGCGATTTGCCATCGTGTGCTGGCCACAATCACCGCGTGCTTGTCCCCCACCACTCGACGGCATCTTGACATCAACGTCAGTTCCAAGTCCTTTCATCTTTTGTGATGTACCACCGCGCTCTAAAGAGCTCTTTCCTACTGCGGCCACGCGCGGCCGCCCCGCTTCAAGTGGCGCGGGCGTCGGCCATGGCGCTGCCCACGTCGCTCGAGCGTCTCTTTGCCAACAACAAGAAGTGGCGCGAGGGCAAGAAGTTGCTGGACCCGGACTACTTTGACAAGACGTCGCAGGGGCAGCACCCGCAGTATCTGTGGATTGGCTGCTCGGATTCGCGCGTACCTGCCGAGGAGATCACGGGTCTTGCTCCGGGCGAGATGTTTGTGCACCGCAACGTGGCGAACCTCGTCGTGAGCAACGACATTAGCTCGCTCTCGGTCGTGCAGTACGCGGTGGAGCACCTCAAGGTCAAGGACATCATCGTGTGTGGTCACTACGGCTGCGGTGGCGTGCACGCTGCGGTGGATAACAAGGACCTGGGACTGCTGGACAACTGGCTGCGCAACATTCGGGATGGTATGGTGCCTTCCTTGATTCTGGTGGGGGATGGTGGTTGTTGGAAGCACGTCCTTGTGACTGATTTTTGTTGGTTGGTGTCGTTGTTGTTGTTGTTGTGATTTGATGTGTAGTTGTCCGTCTTCACACTGCTGAACTGCAACAAATTGACGACCATGAGCAGCGCATGCGGCGGACGGTAGAGCTCAACACCATTGAGCAGTGCATGAACGTGTTCAAGATGGGTCTGGTGCAGCGCCACCAGGTCAAGTACGGCTTCCCGCGCATCCACGGTCTTGTCTACGACTTGAAAAACGGGGAACTCAATGAAATGGATATTGACTTTGACGCGTATGTTCACAAGTACCGATCCATCTACAAGCTGCACGAGTTCCCATCTGAACCGGCGCTGCGTCGATCCCAACTGCAGGGCAACATGATTCGGTCGCTGGTCAAGGGCCACGCCGAAGCGTCGGGCTGCGTGAGCGTCGAATTTGTCAAGCACGCCATGTCTGGGGAGCCGATTCTCTTTAGTGAGACGGAGATCAACAGCGCTGTCGCCAGGGCACAGGAAGGCGAGAGTGACTGCAGCATTGTCGACGTTGAGAAGCTTGTTTGGTACTTTGACCACTGAATGCATCGGTACAGGTTACTGAGCATGGGCAGTACTTACCTCGATTGCATGCTTTCGAGCGTTGTCCTTTTGTCTTGTCGCTAGTTCATCGATGACTGCAAAATCAAGAAGAAGATGTGAATCCACTTTGAGACCGCTTTTGTTCTTTGCAATTATGGTCGATTACGCAGCTGCATTGACCAATATAATGTCGTTGCACGTGCCGGATACATGGGTCTTGCCTCTGCTAACATGTATTTGCTACTCAGATCAGCAGACAGACTCGGTGGGGATGTTGCAAGCGCAGATATATTAGTTGCACGAGCACCCGTTGGAACTGCCGCCTCCTTTCGTGTTCTGGGTCAACTTTAATCACGTGAAACAACATGTATCAGCACAGGTGATCAGAAACCAAGAAACCGCAAAGAGTTTTACCTTTGTGCCAACCGGCCGACTCAAGCCACCAACCATCTCGCGAATCGTGATCAGTTCTGACGCCATGGTAAAAAAGGCTTCCTCTACATTCTGTGCGTTCTTAGCACTTGTTTCTAGAAACGGGATCGACAGGCTGTCTGCAAACACCTTGGCCGTCTCGTGCGACACTGCTCGGTTGTCGCTAATGTCACTCTTGTTACCCACAAGAAGCTTGCACGTGCCTTCAGTGGCATATCTGTTCACTTCATTCAGCCAGTCATTTACATGGTCGAACGATTCCTATACAAAGGCAGACATGACCAAACGTAAATCAGCATTGTGAGAGCCAAGCCCGTGCTTAGGTCCTGCTATTCCGTCAAGATGTTCGACGCAGCCATGTACCTGACTGGTGACATCGTAGACCATGATGATTCCGTCTGCTCCACGGTAATACGCGCTCGTGATCGTTCGGAATCGCTCTTGCCCAGCCGTATCCCACTGCAAACACCTCAACCATCAGCTCACGAGTACCTTCTTGCTACAGAGTGGCAAAACAATGACCACCACCTACAATCTGAAGCTTCACCGTCTTATTATCGATCTTCACCGTGCGAAACCTCTGTCAACCATACACACCAACCCCGTCATTCTTGTTTTTTGCTCTTCACCTCAAGACTTTTCCATCGTACAAAGTCCACTCCAATGGTAGTAATGTAACTCTCCGTAAAAGCGTCATCCTACAACAACACCAGCACATACAAACCCACAGTTGGTCAACACAGGCCTCACCTACTGCAATCAACATCAACATAACCAACACAGCAACCACACGTACTGCAAAGCGCAGCAAGAGGCAGGACTTGCCAACGCCCGAGTCGCCAATCAGCACGAGTTTGAACAAATGATCGCTGGACAGATTCAGTTCACATGACTCGATAAATGTCAAGGGAAAGGTCTGTTAACGTCCTCAAAAGGAGCTCCAAAAGGTCAAATACGCACTAGTCCCTCGACGACATTCGCGCTCAATTGGATCTGCAGCAAGAGACGACTTGACCGTAGCTCCAGTTAGTTCCCAAGGAATCGCTCTGGTATGCGCCGCTTGCGATATTTACGTCTATCTGCGATAGTAGTAGCCGGGACGTCCAGATGTACCCAATCGAAAAAGGGCGCGTGAGGTGAACAAACAAATTGGGTATTGGACCTTTTTTTCGAGTCTCTTTTTTTTCTTCGAAAAACGCAAAAATGTTGCCTTGACGGTGCCTATTCTAGGCACTCGACGGTTTTTTGCCAGTCGGTGGTCCACACGAGGTGCTGCTTTTCGCTGGCTGGAACAAAAATGGAAGGCGGAGACTCGAGTGTCGTGGTGTCGGCGCCGCTTAAAGCGCGACGGGAAGGCTCGATCTACGAAAAGTACTTGAATATTAAGAACAACGTGCTGACGGATGAGGAGGATGGAGCGGTAAAGACGTGCACGGAGATCTCGAACTCAACGGGTAAGCACAAGATCTGAGGTTGTCCTACAGTTGAGTTCTGGTCAACAATTGGTGTTAAGGGCTGAGGATAAACTGACTGCAACGATTGGTGTTATTGAGTGACTGTGTAGACGAGCAAGAACTGGAAGCTGGAGAAGTGGTTGGTTGAACTGAAGAGAATAGCGGGACAGGTGTCTCTGGGCTCTCGGATCGTGGCATGTCTGCTGTTGCTCATACTGATGGGAATGAGGCTGAGAGCTAGACTTGAGATGGATTCTTCGACAATGCCAAAACTTTATCAGCAGTAACAGCAAACATACCGCGGTCTTGGATGCTGCAGGGTGGGGTCGTGTTCTGGAGGTTGATCCGACTAACGGCTGTTGATTCTTGTTGTTTTGTGTGTTTTTTATACGTCTGCTGCTCACGTGCTCCTGGCTCGTTCGACTGTGCTCGTGAATCTGAACTTGTGTTCCTTCATCGCTTATGTATTCGCGGTTGAATTGATAGTATATAGCGATGCGCGATAGTGCATCGATTAAATCGACTGATGTCGGCTTTCGTATGACGTCGCCAAGGAATGGAAGACATGGAGGATTTAGGTCGCCACGAATGGAAGGGTCGTTCGGACGTGTGTCACCGCCGCGAATGATGGGGGGACCCGGAGGTCCTCTTGGAAGAGGACGTAGCCGAAGTCGCAGCAGAAGTCGTGGACGGAACGGCATGGGTGTACCAGGTGACATAAATGGAGGAAACCGACCGCGGTCACCACCTCGAGGCCCGCCTGAAAGCGGACGCTTTGATTGTTGCTCTTCCGGGGGTAGCGGCCATTTTAACAGACCTCCAGGAGATACATTCGGTGGTCGACGAGTTAGTCCTGGCAGAGGTGCTTTCATTGAAAGAATCGGTAGCCCACGTCGTGGTGGTTTTGATGGACGACCTGGCAGCCCCCGTCGCGATGGTTTGAACGGACGGCCTGTCAGCCCGCCCCGCAGCGGCTTTAACGGACCACCTGGCAGTCCGCCTCGCGGCGGTTTTAACGGACCACCCTGCAGCCCACGTCGTGGTGGTTTTGATGGACGACCTGGCAGTCCGCCTCGCGGCGGTTTTAACGGACCACTCTGCAGCCCACGTCGTGGTGGTTTTGATGGACGACCTGGCAGCCCTCGTCGCGATGGTTTGAACGGACGACCTGGCAGTCCGCCTCGCGGCGGCTTTAACCGACCACCCGGTAGCCCACGTCGTGGTGGTCTTGATGGACGACCTGGCAGCCCGCCCCGCGCTGGTTTTGGTGGACGACCTGGCAGCTCGCCTTGTGATGGCTTTGATGGAAGGCGTGGCAGTCCACGTCGCGGTGATTTTGATGGAAGATCTGGTAGCCCACGTCGTGACGGCTGTTATGGAAGACCGGTTAGTCCGCCGCGCGGGGGCTTCGGTGGAGCACCAGCCAACGTCCTGCGTAATGGTTTCGGAGGTGATCGGTCACCTCCGCGTGGTTTCGATGGCGGACGTGGTAGCCCCCGATTCGATGGATTCATCGGTCCTCCAGGCGGCCTCCGCGGACGCTCTCCACCACGTGATGACTTCAGACGAGGTCCGCCTATAAGCCCTGGACGCGATTGCGCACCGCGAGATATTAGGGGCGGCGTGATGGATGGACATGGTTCAGGGGGTCCTCGCCGGAGTCGTAGCCGCAGCCAACCTCGTGGGCTCCCACGTAGTCCCCCACGCAGCTACGACTGCGGACCTTTTGACAGCCGACCAGGGCGTCCACAAGGCCCTTTGCGCAACGATTTCGGCGGCCGTGATCCTGGTGATTTACCCCCGTTTGAAGGCAGGGGCCCTTTGCCGATCAGACGACCTTCGAGCCCTCCACGTGATGGTAACTTTGGACCACGTTTCGACAACCGAGGGCCACCAATTGACAGTCGTAGCCCCTCATCTGGACGAAACGGCCCACCGAACATGTTTCCTCCTCGAGGTAGAAGTCGTAGTCCAAACGGGCAACCTTTGGGCGAAATGATGCGCAAGAGAGACCGAAGCTGGGACCGTGGTGGTCCCCCACGAGATATGATGCAGCGTCCGTTTAACGGTCCCGTGCCAGATAGCCCGCGTTTGATGGAGCCTGGGCCATATGATGTAAGTTCTGTTTGTGCATTTACCGACTATCTATAGTCTAGCTGTTTTGACGCGTACTTATTGATGAATGTGGGATGCCGGATTCGTAGACTCCAAGCGAATGGAGTTTTGAATTGAAACGTAGTGGGAAGGTCAAGTGTCGCTGCAGTGCTACGTCACTCTCGGTTGGTGTCAGCCGTCAGTTGTACGACAATAGCCGTGTTTAGACAGCACCTCGCTTGTTGTGCGTTAGCTAATGTTTACTTGACGTGCATGTGTAGACCGCCATATCTGGATGTGATTACGCTGCCACACCTGAGTAGGTCGCCTGATTTCTTACAGCTCGAGCGCCCGAATGTCCGGAGGGTCGTGTACGAATTGAAACCAGAGTCAATGGCGGATGCGAGCGGCTACCGTGAATTCGTGGACTACCTGATTCTGGGACGCGGTGGTCACGCGCGTGCTGGGGCTGCAACGGAAATGGAATCCCAAGGCTTCAAGATATTTCTTCTGCCCCCGGGCCAAGCAGCACGGCAGCTAGGCTACAAGGGAGACCACATGGTTGCTGTTCTGCGTTCTCGCTGAATGCGCAACTTGCATGAAATGTGCGATCTGTTCCCGCTTTTTACTACTATGGAACGCGCACCCAACGTATTCGATTGACCATGCGTTTCTTCCGCACAGCCGCTGTGCTTGACTTTATAGTGAACTCGATCGTCTGTAGTTGTTGTCTGAAAACTAGTGGGATCGGCGGAGAGATATTAAGATCAGTACGAACCCACAGTCTAATGCAAACTGAAGTCCAGCTTACTCTACAGTTACTATTTCTAACAAATGACGGGCACGATAAACCACGGTTCCTTCGGCATGTATGTGTGTCCTGTTGTCTCCTAACTATTTGGTGAATATTTTGCAAAGTATACTCAACTACGTCGTCTAATAGGACAATCGTAGCTGTTAAAGTCTATTGGCGACCTTTGTTGAAGTTCTTTTTGTGGCGCGCCTCCGTGGAAGAAAGCCTGCAACGCGTTATTACGCAAGTGAGATGGCCTGTTTGAATATGGGACAATTGTAACATGATCGACAAAGGTGAGACGCAACATTAGTGCGTTATCCAGCCAAGAGCTACTTGATGCTGCGAGATTCGTGCCACTTGAACGATCGCGAGATTATATTGCTCTTACCCTACGAAGTCGTCTGCACCGAGCAGTAAAGAGAGTTTAAACGTGAGGATGCTAACGATTGACCATCAGTGCGTTCTTACAACCACGAGTAACCCGACCATGGCGGATGGCGTTATCTTACTGCGGTACCGGCCATGTATAATTCATGAGTGTGGCGAGCACCAGCTCTACTACAGCATGATCAATCTAACACAATTGCAAGAAAGCGAAGTCAATTGGAATGATCAACAAGGACGAGTTTCTAAGCATGATAGCGTACGGAATCAAACACTCCCTTCATTACTCCTAACCTTTCTTCTTTCAAATGTTGCTCGAAAATAGCACTGGTAACAGGAGCGTTAAGGTCTCGTTCGACCCCGGCCCCGATTATCTTTGGTAATGGGTTGTCCAGCAGCGACAATATGGTATTGGGACCAAACGTCCGTAAGACGAGGTTCATTACCGACACTTCGCAGTGGTTGCACAGATTTTTTTAGAAAATCGTGCGAGGACGATAGTCTTTGAGAAAAATAGTGAGCTTTGGTGTGGTGTGGGCCGCGCAATTGAAGTCAGTCTTTGATTCTTTGTACGTACTTTCACGCATACACGACGACTGAAATAGCACTTGCTCTCAACATTCGCGTACTTGAACGCGACAACGCAGCCACCCAAGTGTAGAGCCACGCTTTAACGTTACCGATATTGTCAGAGGCATCGACACAACATGTGCTAGACCCGATGCATAACAATCTCGCGTGGGACCGACAGTCGAGCTGCCTGACCAAAGCTGTCTACCATACTCATTAGGATAAAACCAGTAAAAAGCGCGCCACACACCACAACTATCGCTTTTGTCAATCCTCCGATGACTTCCATTTCAATCCGCCTTGACAGTAGTAAATAATGCATCACGAACATCACTACGCGCGACGGTTTACCGGATCCTCTCTTCTTATATCGGCAGTCTCGGATCCCTGTGCCCTTGTGAAAACCCTCATAATTTCACGACTTTAGTCCGTTGAAGCTGGACGTTGTCGCCATAGACAAGACTCAAGAAACGGTAATAAAGGAAGAACAATCACCATTCGAAATGTTAGTGGATTTGGAAGAACTTTCACCCTCGATCTGATTTACAAGCATCACCCCACATAAGTTTGTGTAATTGATCACGCACTCGATACTAAAGAAACCTCCACGAATGTCACCCCCCCCAGCCTCCTCAATCGGGAGCCGATTGTATTGTTATCAAGTCTTTCGACTCTCAGCGTCTGCCGCAGCTGTGCGCTAATGCTGACGACTCCAACGGTGGATATACTCAACTGTGACACATGCCGCGCACGTCAAATTTACCGCAAATTTATGATCGGACTTGTGCAGCGGCACTTATCTATACCGGTACAATAGTGAATACATGTGCTTTCTACATGTACAGCTTGTTGCTTGTTTTGCTGATGGTTAGTTCCAACCACGGCCAAAGCATTACGGTTGTCATATCGAGCAATCGTCTCTAGCTTACTGGTTTCCACATCGTTCGAGGTTGCCGGGATATGATATCCCACACTGTCTAATTTAGGATGCCAATCAAACTGTCGGATATACGATGTTGAACCTGTAAGAAATAATATCGAAATAATCCACTTCATGCGCATGATTCGGGATCCTCTAACAAGTCTTTACCTAAAGCTGCCGTGCGACATCGGAAGATAATTTGACCGTAGATCAATATTGAAGTTTGCGTGTAAATTATGGAGAGACAGCAGCAGCATTGAAATGTGTTCCCTTTATTTTGCAACTATTCAATTAACTCATTTCATTCACTTGCTCCACGGCAGTTGCATCTCTCGTTCAATCAATCAAGATTGATCGATACTTATTCTACACTTGCGCCACTATCATTAAGCACCTGAATGACAAGGATGCAAATCTTGACATTTACATCGTTCAAAGGACAGGTTGATGTTTTCACGGGTCAGGAAGATCATTTTCGTCTCAGGATCCATCCAGCTAGAGCAAGTATATCGCACTGATCCGTACAGACAAGCTGACCTCGTTCCTATCCAAAAAGGTTGCCGACAAATTTGCTAAAAACACAGTGCAAGGTGAAGGAGATCTGTATGGCTGTGCCAATGAGCCTCAGCTTTAGCTGAACTCGGTCAAAATCGCTGAGCTTTCAAGCATCTGTACGTCCACCGGCCGCGAAACCCCTTGCTGCTTTGATAATTAGTGTTCGAGCCCTCACTGCACCAACTAGATGTGATGCAAAACCGAATTTGGGCCACAAAGTAGATGCAGAGCTAAAAGTATCTTTGTGATCATATGTTCACTGTGGTATCAGAGCCATCGCCATAACTATTTATGTCATTCCATCGTTTGGAGCAACTCAATGGAACAGTGCAGCACCCAGGTCGTACATGCAGTATAAGTGTTAGCTATTCAAATCAATTCTTTCAACGCTGCAATGTATCGATTCGGGCTATGGTTCACTGTAGACGATGGCAGAGGCGTAGCTGACAGAGGAGTCACCATAGCGCATGCATGCGCTACTCTGTGCATATTTGACAAACTTGAGCTTGTACTTCAGCTTTTGTGAGGCCAAGATGCTATGCAGCAACAACGAGATCGGGTGCCGTCCACAAATTGTGTTGTTTGTTTCCTCCAGGTACCGCGTAAAGCCCTCCGCGTCCAAGCGCTCAATGAACTGCAATTCAAAGCATGAGCATGAGCAAGCGTGAGTGTGAGTCTTCCGAACAATTGGTTGCGCGAGTCTTCCCACTTACGCCCATGCCTTGGTGATCTAGATATTTAATGTATTCGTGAATCTCCCCATAGGTTGAATCGTGCGGCTGATACCGGAACCTGGGCAACACGGAAACACCACACGTCACTATACACGTAAATTACAATTGATTGATGTAGCGACAGCGAGCATACCGTGGTCCCCAATGGCAGAAATCGGAGCTGATCACAAAAAGATTTTCGTCACTCTCGAGATAAGGTGCCAAAATCCTACAAACCACGAGAGAAAATGTGTCGGTGACCCCTCTCTTCGCTGCGTTAACAAAAAGGCTGTACTCGTCCAAGCCATACTTTCCGTATTCTTCATCTGTTTCGCTCTTCGTGTTACCAACCAAGATCGGGACCGCTGTAAATTCGCGACCATTCATCACCTGCAGTCCCCAGCAGCACTTTTAGACGAGTCATCTTGCAACTACTAGTACCCTAAACTGGACACAAAAATTGTCCACCTGATAGATGAAAGGCAGATGCATTTCAATGCTGTGCTCGTCCTCGTCAACGTCCATCGACATGGTTGCAAATTTGCCCTAAACGACAAATTAAAACCATTAGTAAGCGATAAACGTAACAGCACATTGACTCTCGTCTGTTGCAGCTCTTCTTGACTTACAGAATCCACGAGCTTCTCGTTGACTTCACGGTCAAGCACAATGTTTCCCAGTGGCGTCTCGTACTCATGTGCAGTCGACACAGCACATCCGCTGCATGGCAAGTACAAATGTCTCGATCATTGACTATCATTCCACTCCACAGCACACAATACCCACAAAGACTCTTCCCATCACACACACACAGTACGACTCACCGCAAGTAGAAATGATGGGAAGGTTGCGTCAAGTTCATTTGAATGAACTTGGCGATAGTAGCATGTTGGGCATCTCTATTGAGAGCCTCTAGCATGACGCTAACAGCATGGATGCCCATGGTCGAACCCATCTGTTCAACCGCATCCCATTCGACATCGCTCAAATGGGAGTAGCCGTCACGCGTAGCGTGAAAGCTTTGGTCATCTTCATCATCCAACATATTCATGTTGGATGTGAACTTGCGGTCCTTGGACGGACTACGAAGTGCTACCAGGTGTAACGGGGCACCCTGAAGCTTGTACTGGTGACAGTACAAGCTACTTATTCTGATAACAGAATAAGGCGGCGCCTCGTAATCTTCACGTACACTCGTACGTGCAGAGGAAGACGGTAAGAAGTTAAGCGAGTACTCGGTTAGAGTAAAGTAGAACTGTATTTATAATAGTTAATGTCTGCAATAAATCACTATTTATCTTCATCTAACTATGTCTAAATACAAAATGTGTAAATCAGTTATCTGCTCACCACTCATTGCGTGCGTCTGTCGTGGTGCGTCTTCGTTGGTTGATATAATGGCCTATATCAACCAATTAGGAACTACTTGGAAGTGCTACCGAATATTGTCCTTATGACAATATTCTGAGAATATAACTCTTATAGTTATATTCTATTAACAATTTCTTATAAATTGTTATGTAACGATTCACCCCGTTACATCGTGCGAGTATTGGGGTCAATGCAATTTAACAACCTACTGTCGGACCTAGCGAGTTGACATACCCATGGTTTTGGTTATTGACGTCGATTGGAATACGCATCAGTGAGGTGACTTATTTCGTCAACTGACCCCTTCAATGACCATCGAGAGGCCGTTCTGTTTGATGCTTTAGAAAGAGAAAATACATTCTTCTCTTTTGTGATTGCCCTGAACTTAGCCTGCAAATTCTAAGATCTCAAAAAACTTGTAGTAGTGGAAAAAAAATTATTTAACAGCCAACGAAACCTACAATTTTTATGGAAGTATGTCAGGGTATGTGAACTAAGCATCCAAGCGTAAGTTCTTCCTCTGTCTTTGATAAATAGTGTTCTCGCCTACTCTCATAACTGCAACCAATACGTGAGGTAGCAGTTTTATTACACCGTAACCGATGTCGATGCGGTATAATACCGCTATGCAATACGTACTCACGGACACATTGGACCCATGCAGACCAGCATTTGAAAATCGGGATGCACTGGTCACGTATTTTGTGTGTATTGACTAAGGTAACGAATTGTGCATCACGAGGGATGACCAGAAAGCCAGGTAAGGATGAAAATAAATAAGGACTACTACAACCTTCTACGCATTTTCTTGTAAAAAGCATAGGGCAGGCACCGCACATCAGCACGTTTAGCGTTCAAGTCATTTGTACGTCATTTTTGTTAGATTATTGAAGCTGAATCACTAACAAAAGATGTTTTGTAGACGACTACGGGGGATTGACACGGTCGTTTAGACCCTGACACAGACATGCTTTGTTAATCAGACGATTCCATTTAACCGGTTTAACCAAAGCGTTTATTTGGTCGATCGTTTTAACGAGCGAGGGCGGCGAACGTAGGGACAATTTGACCTGTGCTCGTTGCACCTTATCAAATCCAAATGTCCATAAAGATATAGTCGTTCTGGCTCTTGATATTAAACCCTACTCATCGAAATTTTGTGCACTCACTCTATCGACATCGAATTTATAAGATGCGTCGAGGTTGCTGATGTTTCTGTAGCTAGAGTATACCTCTTCGACTCCCTTTCCACCATGCAAAATGTCACACTTCTTAAAGGTAAAATACTAAAAAAAATTGATCTTCGCCTTTAAAGAAGGATATGAAATTGAAATGAAATGTTCAAACCAGCCTTGGACAGTCCAAAATTTATTTATCGTGCGATTGTAAAAGTGTTGTCACCATAATCTTAACTTACGAGAATAAATATATTGCTTTTTCGTTTTGTAAAAAAGATGAGCCGTCGTGAACTGTGACTATCGACCTTGTGAACTCTTCTGTGACGGGAATCAGTCCACGATATGTTAGGGCTAATCTCAAAATTATTTATACACTATTGAGATCGGAAACCATCACTGCCGATTTCCTCTTTCGTGATCTAATTGGTGGAGCATTATCGAAATGGATTTTCGTACCGAACCAACTTTTGTTTGAGTGTGTATTTTTTGCAGTGCATTTCAGCTGTGATCAGAATAATAGGTAATGTGTATAAAAGTAATGGGGAGACCAAGTAAATTTGGAATAGTTTCGGAAATTGCTCTCGTACAGATAGAGGCGTGATGTATTTTAATGCCATATTGAGTCTCTTGCCCCTCCGAGTGGGTGAAAGACTGCAATTTTGGAAATCATATGAGCGAACCTTTATTTAAAGTCAGTCTTATCACACAAGAGATGTCAGACGGATCTGTCTCGGCACATTTCTCATTGAAATAATAATCCTTCGAATCCGCGTTGACTTCTCAGTATGCTATTGAGTCCTGCGCCAACGTTAGTACGTGTAACAATACAACCGTCATAAACGTTCTTACAATAATTCGCTGTGTCAGCCAGATTCGCAGATTATGTGTACAATAATAATATAAGATGACGTCAAAACCACAAAATCTAACCAGCCTCGAAATAGATAGGACGGCGAGGATAATGTGGTGAAGCGGTCGATTAAAATCACAGTCAACCACAACCTTTAGTGTCATAAGATGACCAAAGAATGGCCAGGTGATTTTGGACTGGCCGTCGAATATTGTTAATGGGATGAATAATAGTGAACGACCATTAATATCGACAACGGGGACCGGTTGTGACCACCGACACTAATAGTGGCCGGGGCGGACCACTTCATTGGAACAAAAGGATGGTGAGAGGCAAAACAAAGCAATAGAAGCTAAGCTACCAAGAGGTATAGGCGTAGTCATAGTTGTTGATCGGTCAATAACTGGCAATATTGATTATCCTATAAAGAGACGCATCAGCATCCCTCTGGGCTGTAATACCTGTGACTACACGACGTTTAAGCTTCGTTGAATAAGTGCTTATGCGATATTTTTCCATACATTGCTTGGCTGGTGAGAAAGATACTCACAAAAGTTAGTTTGCAATTGAAGGTTGCAAATTTTCCAAAGACAGGGTCTTTAGAAGGCTCTAGTGACCAGAAGAACACGTTTTTAAAGTATCCACATTCGAACAAAGCGACCTAATGGAAGTCTTAGCGACTACGAGAGACCCCTTAAAGTAACTGCTTTCGGTGTGAAATATCCGACGCGACCACACCCAGCCTGTCCTTATCTTTGTTTATACAGACATCTACCTCAGGTCACTAATAAAAGTGTGACCCTCCCTTCAACAGATACGCAAGTGAGAAGGAACCAGACAAGGCAAGACATATCACACGGTCTGTAGTGCCCCCCGGTGGTCGGTTTTTGGGCACCAGTGAATTCGGTTTTGCGACGGTAATTTTGCGATGATTATTGCACCACTAGAACTACACACTCAAGTTTGGTGATTATAGTAGAGCATTCCTTACACATGTGGTAATGGACAGGTTTTGTGCTACATAGTATTAGTTGTGAAAAAAAGACACTTCCTATAGAGCAAGAGCATACTGACCCAGTCAATTGGCCGTGCATCAAACTCTTTTTCCCTTGAAAACTAGAGCTCGCGAGCCTATGAAGGATGCTTCCTGTCGCAAATTAACTTCGGGTCGAGTAGCATATGGGTGCATCTCCAGTGATAATAGTTTTCAAGATACACATACTTTCTTATTGCTGACTCTTATTATTCCTAAAGTGCGGTAGTGAGCTGATACATACTTATGAAATTCATTTACAGATAAATATTTCAATCGTACTCCTCGTCTACCTTATTATTACAATCGGATAGCTTCGATTATTGTGGTGCGCTCAAATTTAGCTACGACTTTTCATAACAAATTACTATTATTTTACTATCGTTCTTTACAGTGGCTAAAGCCTCTGAGGACAAGAAAATTAGGTATTTATCCGATATGTTGCTTCACGACAGTAACGAAATGATATCATAACTTGATACGCGAGGTCTTTATATCGCCTTATTCACCTCATACTTAAAATAAACATTTATTAGATATGTGGTGAAACAGATCAAAAAAAATGTGAGGAAGTGGATCTTACGTCAGCGAGCTTAAACTACGAATATATTTATTAATTTGAAAAGGAAGGAACCAGAATCGCGTGATCTTGAATTGAACATCTTACTATCACCCCAAATCATAATTTTATCATCTAAGATCGCTAAAATGAAGTCGATGAACAGTGCAAACTTCGGCTACACCCCGACCGCAAACACAATTTATGATCATTTTACAATCTAAATTTGACTGCAATCCGAGAATTTATCGCAAAAGAGCGTATTGTGGAAATGAAGCTAGGCTTAATGGAATATGTGGTATGCAGCAAAAAAACGTCTAAGGTCATTCACTAAAATGGGTGAGCAGAGAATATGATGAAGGTTAGCAAGCGCGTTTATGATTCGGCATTTCAGGGCGCGGTCGAGAAATAGGTAGAGACTTATTTCTATAGAAAAACGCATATAATGTGGCATATATATAAAGTTTATACTTACTAAATTATCCACAATCCAGTGATGTGCACTCTACAGGCCGCAAACCAATTCTACACGACCCACTATCGCGTAATCTGCATTTAAGTGACCTGAAATCAGTTCTGTTGATCCATTACAGCCTCAAATTAATGATCCGCGATACATTTATTCCGCTGTGTAAAAGTCGCTAACCAGTAGTAGGGACTTAAGATGTGGAGCACTCGAAATGATGAGACGTTGATATTTTCAAATTTACTGAATGCACGAGGCGTGGCAACCAATACGGACATTCATCTAGGCATAATCCTTTTTATATTTTGATTTGGTTAACGGAAAACATCGTCGAATAAAGTGTTAAAGATAACTGCCGTCACGTCCGGATAAGATTTTAAGCTTACCACAATTATGAGTCAATGGACCACATCTTTTGCGCAAGATTTAACCCTAAATCTTTTGGCCAGGCGCGACAATTGTAACACGACAAAATTCATCTGCGATTTGAAAAATGTATCCTGTTAAAATTGGGTACAACATCGCAAGATAGCTTACGTGGTCGAAATGCAAGTGGCTTTACTATCAACATTATTTCACATGGCGACATCAGAC